CAGGACGAATTAAAAATGAAAGAATAGGCAAGAAGAGAGAGAGAAACCGAAGAGAATGGGATGAGAAAACCGGAGAAGAAGTAGAAATCAGGGGAAAAGAGAGGAGGAAGCCATAGGCAATAACCCAAGCATTCTATTCTTTAATTTATCAATTCATCAACTGTTTCAAATACGCAACAAAACAGAAATAAATAGCAAAACAAAAACCCTAAAGAGAAGGGCTTGGGCCAAACCTACTATACAAGCCCAATAACAGAAACATAAATAATATTACAAATAGAATATAACTAATAGTCTAAATAGAAAATAAATAGTAAATGGATGCCCGCATCAACTCTCCCGGGGTGGGAGAAAAACTCGACCCCGTCGAGTGGATAAATCAAAATGCTGCAATGAATATGATGCTAAAGGCTCCAAGTCATGCCACGGGGGACGATCTTTCTTGACGACCAAATACCGAAACTCCACAAATGATAATAAAGCTAGTTGCAGCTTATCCTCAACAATATGATCCAACCAAGGAGGATGATCTTTCTTTGTAATCACATACCGATACTGAACTCCCAATGGTAAAAATTCATGCCACTCATCCCCAAAATCTTCATCATTGGTTAACACAATTTGCTTATCTAAAATAGCATCAATTTCATCTTTGGCTATGACATGTGTTATTGGAGTGAAAATGGTAATATATTTAGGTTGGGGATCCACATAAGGAAGGAGAAAAGGATCATCAAGGAAATTAAAAAGGCCTTTGTAAGTAAGTAAGTCCTCAATAGGTAAAGTATAGTGGTGGCCAAAAAGGTGATGAAAAATCAATGACATGTGCATATTGCCCAACATACTTTAAAACTTGAAAAGTACCAGCACTACTGGCTTGCAATATAACATAATCCCTAATATTAAATTCAAAATATCATTTATGCAAATTAGCTTGAGGTTTATATAATACATTGTTTGCGTCAATTTGCTTATTGATCTCAATATACAAGTTATGAAGATGATGCACAAATGCTTCAGTTGGTATCGACACACTAGCATGTGGGGACATGAGAATAAGGTCTAACGGCCGCCTAAACTTAAAACTATGAATAGCTTTAAACGGATTCAGATTTAGAGACCGATTTACAGAATTGTTATACGCAATTTGAACAGTTGGGGGAATCAAGTCCCAATTTCCAATATTTTTCTGGACTAGAGACTTGAATAAATTGCCAGGACTTTGGTTAACGATTTCATTTTGACTATCAGCCTGGGTTTGGTTTGCAGTGGAGAATTTCGATTTAGTGCTAACCATAGGCAACTGGGCTCTTTCAAAGTGACTAGGGAAATCATGGGATACAGAAGGTGGAGTCCCAAGAAGAGCCTGGATGCCATTTAAGGAGGTGTCCTCACTATTATCATCAAAATCTTCAAGTTTAGGGTCATATGCTAGATCTTCTAACGACTCTTCTATTGCATTCTTTCGTTCTTTTATGACTAAGGCTCGGTTAGGACATTTGGTAGAGATGTGGCCAAAGTCCTTACAGCTGATGCATAGCAAGTGAGAAGTCCTTGGAGTTTAAAAAATTATACCCTTATTTTCCAAAATTGGAGGAACATTAGACGGGGAAGGTCCTAGAAGGGATTTAACAGAAGGAAGTGGAGCCAATGAAATCAAAGGATGATTGTCATTATGCTTTCTACATGAAGAAGATGATCTTGGGCTATCACGACCTTTACACTTGTCTTTCCAAAGGGAAGGAACACTAGATTGGGAAGACTCTATGATAGATTTATGATGAGATGATGCTAATGAGATGGGTGAACGATGGTGATCATGCTTTTCATATGCAGTACTAATATTCAACTCATAATCTCGAGCTAAAGAATAAGCTTGATTAAGAGTGATGACACCCCGAAAGAAAAGCTCACGTCTAAGATCATCTCTTAGACCTTGTGTAAATCTACTCAAAGTCAAGGCCTCATCCTCAATGACGTGACATTTCATTTGAAATTCCTCAAATTGAGCAATGTACTCAGTTACTAGCCGATTCTCTTGTGTAAGGGTGTTCCATTGGGTAAAAATTTCATGATCTAAGCAACCATCGAAAGTAGGAGTATCTAAGTCAATGTCTCTAAAGAAACGCTCCTTACAACGAGGAAGAGAATGAGTACCATGATGACCATGGTCTTGTTCTCGCTCACGAACCTGATCCCTATTTCTACGATCGTGCCGAAAATATTTTTGATCACTTTGTCCACGATGATATTGTCTATTATGAGACGTTTCAGAATTAGTGTCAGTCAAACGAGGGGTTCCCTTAAAATTGCTCAACTTAGTAGCTAGGTTCTTTCTCTCCTCACGAGTAGCAGTTATATCTGATTGGACAATCGATAGGCTAGTGGCAAGTTGCACTAATTGTCTAGTGAGCGCATCAAATTGTGAGGGGTCCATGTTTGAAGTAGTAAAGTGACAGGACGACCACTATGCAATTGTACGCAAAGTAACACTACCTAAATGAAATGCAATAGAGAGATCAATATGCAACAAGGACCAACAATTAAAAACAGCAATTTGAAATTCCCTCTCTCTCTCTATGAACAAATTTTGGGGTTAAGGAATCCAACTATGCAAGCTAATAGTGCTGAGGTGTGTAAATAATAAAGCAAGGGTCCAATTGACTTGTCAAAATTTCCAATCACATAGGTAAGTGGGGGTAACAATGGCAAGTTAATTCAGTGACTGATTCCAGGCAAGTGAAGTTTGAGGCCAAAGTTATGAGACCACAGCGACACACAGACTCTAAATGATGCACTTTTAAAATAAAACAGCAGTATAAACTAGTGAGAATTAGGAGATAGCGACTCCCTGTTGTCCAGTTGAGTCAGGTGGCTTTAATGGTTCTTTGCAATCGGTGGAGGCAGTTGGCGAAGGAGACAATTAACTCCTTGATTGATGAAGTCGGCTGTTGTCCGCAATCTTTAAGAAAGTTGTTGAACAATTAAATCGCCGGTCCGTATGGCTTATCCGAGTCAAACAAGTCGCCGTTCCAATTTATATAGTCCCTTAACAAACCAAGAAAGTCCGCAAATGCGAATATAAATTCCAATTCTCCAATCTCACTACCTCAAAATCAACCCGTCAAGTGGTGCAACTGAGGCTTAGAGGCTGTAGTTGATTGTGGATTAAGTGATATGAGATTCTGGACACAGTGAATGCTTCTGCCTAGCTAGAGTCGCCTGGTGTTGAAGCAATTGGACTAGCGGCAAGGAAAACGGCCAGATTAGGTGAATGTGGGGAGGGAGTCCACCCCAAATGGACGAACAATGACTGGGATTCTTGACTGGGGTGGTGGATGGCAGGTGATGGGTGGCGTTCAGCGGCGGAAGTTGAAGGGATTGGCGGGACCGAATGGGGAATTGAAGGAGTCTGGGCTGCGGTTGTGATTTGGCAGTAGAGACGAGTTTGGGATTGATGATGTATGCCGGCGACTTGGGTGTTCAATTGGCGGCGTTGGGGCGATAGCGGCTGGAAGGATGACCGGCGATAATAGTAGGAGAGATGGTTGGGTTTAGGTGGATATTAGGTGGTGACCAACTGCAGACAATAACGAGGTTGAAGACGATAACTGGAATGCTATGAAGTGAGCTGATTGTTGTGATATGGGCCGGTAATGGGCTAGGTTGAATGGGGCTGCTTTATGTGTGAATAGATTTAGGTTATATGTTCGGGTAAATATGTGATAAATGGGTTGGGGATTGGGTTATTGGTCGGGTTGAATAATTGGGTTGATGTAATGACCTTGTTGGGCTGAATATGAGATGTGGATATTGGCCTCTAGGACTTGGGCTACTTATGATTATGTGGATGTAGATTGAGCCTGAGTAACGGGTTAAATGATTTGGAGACTAGAATATTTGACTGGGTGTTATAATGGGTTGTTTGGATTAATAATGGATTGTGTGTATGGATTAGGGTTTGCAGGAAGTAGCAGTAGTGACATAACAACTCGGATTTTTTTTCGCGGGTGAATAGTACCCGGGAACAATACCTTTTTTTTTTTTTTTGAAATTGACAAAATGCTAAACTGAAATTCTGGGCGTAACAGTACCCGCAATGAACAGTAATTTTTTTTTTAAAAATCTAGGAAAGAAAACTGCTATCTTCCAACAAATCCTTTTCTTTTCTGCTGTTCGACAAGTTTTGGGAATTGGGAAAGAAGAAAATTTTGAATTGTAAGAGAAAAATACCCAAGATTTAGCTCTGATACCAAATTTGATGTAGGACGAATTAAAAAAGAAAGAATAAGCAAGAAGAGAGGGAGAAATCGCAGAGAATGGGATGAGAAAACCGGAAAAGAATTAGAAATCAGGGGAAAGGAGAGAAGGAGGAAGCCATAGGCAACAATCTAAGCATTCTATTCATCAATTCATCAACCGTCTCAAACACACAACAAAACAGAAATAAATAGCAAAACAAAAACTCTAAAGAGAAGGGTTTGGGCCAAACCCACTATACAAGTCCAATAACAGAAATATAAATAATATTCCAAATAGAATATAACTAATAGTCCAAATAGAAAATAAATAGTAAATGGACCTGGCCAGATTCTCTCTTGTAGGGTCCCACACCATATTTTAATTCAAAAAATCATCCCCCCACCCCCCCCCCCCCCCCGCGGTACTCTATGTATTCTGCTAAATGAACTTTATTGATAAAAATGACCAATTGATTGTAGAATGTATTTTTGATCGTAACATTCGTAATACACTTTCAGTGTATACATTGATAATACACTTTCAGTGTATTATCCATGATTAATAAATAAATAAAATTTTTGATTACTTATTAAAAGAAAAAAAAACATTCGTACCGCTTATTTTGTAGACAAATCCTTTTGTTTGTTTTTAATTTTGTTTTGTTTTTTTGTTTTTTGTTTTTGTTTTTGTTTTTTTTTGGCATATCCGTGCTCCTCCACCCACCTTCAAAAATCTGAATTAATCATTTTGCAAAGCTAATATTTTGACTCTGACTATATTATCTTATTAGAGCTGTGGATTACTAATTTCGTAAGTACTTTTTTCCCAGCAGCTCTTGGAAGTGAAATGAGGTATACCTCAGGAGATGTCTCAAAGGTTATGAGCTTTAATCCCATGATCAGCGGAGTAGGATTGCTCTCATCTGTTTCTGGTGTATTTTCTAATGGTTTTCCTGTAAGAAACCGAGTGGCTGCCAAGGTGTGAACCCTTATTCTACTCAAAGTCAATATGCCCTCTCAGGTTCTGGTTTCTGAATTAATTTGAATTTCTGTTTTCCTAGCTTGACAAATGCAGAAAGCTGGTTCAGATTGCAGAAAAATCCTTAAAAGAAGGAACAAATTTTTACTATGGAGTTGAGGCTTGTAATGAAGTTTTGGACGGTCATGGTCATGAGATTGGGCCTACTCTAGTACATGAGTGTTTGTGTATACGTGCAACCTTGCTGCTCAAGGTTCTTCAAGAACTACATGCCTCCTGTGAATATTGTCTAGCTATGTTCTGTCACCGTTCCTCTACTTAACTGATTAACCATTCCCTTTTTTACAGCGGAAGTGGAAAAATGATGCATACATGGCTATCAGGGACTGTCATAGAGCTCGGAAAATTAATCCTTCTTCATTTAGAGCATTGATTTGTATGTCTGAGGCATTATCACAGGTAAGTTAATGATATTCATAAAACTTTTAGGACTTGGTCTTGAATAAAAAAGTTCTAGCCTTTAGGAGAGTTTTCAGATATGGGTTGTTTTGACTCCGCACTTATATTGCATTGCATCCGTCCATTTGTAGTCCTTCCCAGATCACATATATATTACTTCTGTGCTTTTGGAGATTCTGTTGGTGGTTCCTTGTATAGCCTTGAAACATGTTCTGTAGAATTTGGAAGAGATTGTTTGGATAGAAGTTTATCAGAAAGTGTAAATATTGAATTTTTTTTTCCCACTTATGGCCTCGTGTAGATCATTTTATAGCCTTATCAATTTTGATGTATAAATATGTGTGTGTTTGTGTGTGTATATATATATTTTTTTGCATATAATCAATAATGAGTCTTGATAATTCTGGATCTAAGATTATATATGGCACTGGTATGCTTCATATTTGAATGATGTAATTTTCTCTATCTGAATATGGTGTTGCTGGCTCTGGTCTTCTGCGTCATTGCAGGTGGGGAAACATGAAGCAGCTTTGGAGTTTGCTGATGCTGCAAGATCTCTGGCTCCATCTGATTTTGAAGTCGGAGAAAAAGTGGACAACATAAAAAGGCATATCGATGCAGGTTTGCAGTACTTCTGCTTTATTTCGATATAAAAAATGTCTTTTTGATGGTCATGAATGTGACAACAATATATATGTGGGTTAGGGGGTTTCTTCTAGTAATTTGGGTCTTCGTTCATCTAATAACAATTATTGTTAACCAACGAAAATGATTCGTGGTAAAGACAAGTACACTTGGGCCAGAAAAACCCTTGCTATGCACATCCCTATCTTTAATTATTGGGACAGAATAAAATTATAAAAATAAAATAGGTCTGAAAATCCTTCTAAACGATAAAGCTGATAGGTAGAAGTAACTTGGTGAACGTCATAAAACAGCGACTCCACAACTTCATGAACATGTTTATTTTATTTCTCTCTTTGCCCTCACGCAAAAAGGGGGAGAAAGGATTTCTCTCTTTCCCTGGCTTGGGTTCCTGTTCGGCTAGAAGAAAATGCCTGCTATTTCTATATTCTTGAAATCTCTTCCTGCAAGGTTCATCGACTACCATATTTATCTGACCTGCACATAATGCATACACCTTTGTAAAAGCTTTTTCCCCAGTTCTACTAGGTGCATTGATAACATTCTGCTGTTCTTGTTTCATGGCCAATATTATATGTATCTGTTTTAATTGATTGGTAATCCTAATTCTCTCATGTAGTGTCATGTAAAGTTTCAACTGTCAAATGTTACAGTTGTGCCACTGAGGAGAAATGAGAGTTAGTATTTTCAAGAGAATATAAAATATGTATTTTCTTTCATTGATTGGTAATCCTAAGCCTCTCTGGTATTTGTCATGTCAAGTTTCAACTGTCAAATGTTGCAGATTGTGCTATTGAGGAGAAATGAGAGTTAATATTTTCATGAGTATTGCAGAAACATATACAAATTATCGATATTTCTGGATATGTAGTTCTATTATTGACTAAATATACACTTAATAGCAGAAGTTGAGAAAGCTAAAAAGGAAAATAATAGAGGATCTAAGTCCGTACATCGAGCAGGAAGTGTACTATCTATGAGTGATATAATCTATCGTCCCGAGGGAAATGGTGATGCTTCACAAGATGGCCCTGAAAGAGAAGATTCAGATTTAGATGAAGAATTGGAATTTGATTTTGAAACATCAGTATCTGATGAAGGACATGATTTTGACTCTAATGTTCTTCATGGAAGTTTAAATTTTAGAATACACATGAGAGGTGACTCAGCAACAGAAACTGGAAGACCAAATGGTGCTTCTGGGTTGCCTACACCGTCATGTCAAAGCAATAAAGTGCCTTACCAGGTTCTGATTCTGCTATTCACTTCTTAAAAATTTTGTTTTCAAATTCTTGTTAAACCTATTATATTTTTGCATCAACGTTCGTTTAGGTATGTGTGTAAGGTCATCATTAAAAACTTAACATGTCTATAAATTTTCTGCAATTTTTCGTATTATTCTCTTTCATTTTATTTCTACGCACAAGTTTTTCTTTGATTATGTGGATTATACTTCGAGTATTTTTGAGATCCTCCCTAGTTCCATTAGCAACAGTCGAATTTCTTCTTCCATGCGATCATACTTCCTCTCTCTCTTTTCTGAATTCCATGTTCTCTCTCTGTCTTGTTTCATTGATTTATTATGAATACAAAGTCCAGTGCTACTCAAAATACTTGGTTTAAGTTTGATGACCAATTCGCTCCACATTAGGATATATAATATATTCTTTAGCTACTATTTCATTTTATTTATACATTATATCTGGGTTTTGTTAATTAAATTCTGTTCATTTTGCAGCCTGAGAGTGTGACAGATATGAAACAAATATATGTTGGCCATTGCAATATAGGCACTGACATAAAGCAGGCTAGTTTTCTTGGTCAAAAAGGTATGCTTGAGATTTTTTTTTTTTTAAAATTTTTATATAACCTTTCTAAATCATGCGTGTGTGAAGAGATAAACTACTTGTGAAAAAAGGAATATGTGCTCTTATGGTTGCCAATTTTACCTTGTGCTTTGGGGTAGGTTTTCTTTTAGTGCATCCTCTGGAGATGAAGCAAGGCAGAAACCATATTTGCTAAAACATCAGAACTTGTGCATATGACTCATATACGATTACATTTATTGTTTTTCAATGAACCCCCTTCTTAAGCAATCAAGATGGTGTTGGTACTGAAAGACAACTTAAACCTGTCATGGGATCCTTTCCATATATTTTACAAATATAACACGCAGGAAATGATGTTCTTTGGGCACCTGCCTGTACAATCTGGTGTCTGTTGTCTACTATAATGTTTCACATTAGATATTACAGAAATGCTCTTAAAAGTATTAAAGTGTTACAGGGTGGTTTTGGGGTTGGAATTGCTTGACCAATGCTAAATGATGGCACTATTTGTGCAGCTGCTGCAGTAGTGTAGTTTTTCAACTCCCTATATATGTAGTAAATGAAGGCATATCATTTTTTTTCCTGAATCAGCTTATCTTAATGCTTTGAGTACGATGCAGTAGGTTATTTTGTCTTAACTGTGATGAAGGCCTTATAGTTCCTGTTTGGAATTCCATTGATATTTTATTTTATTTTTTTTTTCATTTCGTTAATTATTTTTCATTGTAATCAAACATTTAGGTCAGTAAGCTCCACAGGATGCTGTCAATGAAGTAATTTTTATTTTTTCATTCAATTTAAGAGATTCTTGATAAGGCCTCAGGGTTTTCGGTGTGACGACCTGAATCCTTAACGATCCGAGTGCCACTAAATCATAAATTAAAACTAATTTAAAGAGTATTCAACACAATTATATAAATTATTAAAGCACTTGTCAAAATTCAAATAATGTAATGAGTTTAATAAATTAACTTGAAATGAGAAATGTATATTTAAAATTAAATAAAATGACAATAATTTTATAACATAATTATTTTATAATTGAAATTTTTGCCACAATAAGCCATCTCGATGCCAACCACCTGAATTATTAATTATTTGAAAGTAGAGACATAAAGGGGTGAGAATAATTCTCAATAAGTGTGCGTGGATAATGGATTCATATATATTTCTATAAGAAGTTCATAACTTGCATAGGGAGATACGAAAATTAGACCGAACTTATATGGTACTAAATTCTTATGCATAGTGTTACTAAACTCCGGTCCATTTTGAATAGAACATACATAATATGGACCAAAACATAAAACATAGCCATAGAAATATTACATAAATATTAGCTACCATAAACATAAAGAACAATGTACTTTTTACTGTACAATTCAAAATGATAAAAGGAGTGATTGCTAGAAAGAGATCCTTGAGCCGCGTGTTTGGTTGATTATTCACGTGTGATTGTGTAAGTGTACTACTATATTTACTATAAAAAGAATGAGAGAAAGTAAAGGTCGAAAGACGAAGTGATAAAGGTTTAGAGAGAGAGTGTGTAAATAGGTGGTAAGGGATAGTTTAGTGTTGGGTTTGTTTCCTATTTATAATGTAATTTCCTATTTATAATGTAAATTTTTGACTATGTGTAGAAAAGTAAAAGGAAATGTCTAGATGTTAGGCATGGCCAATGCATAAATGGTGTATTGTCATGGAAATGTCAAATTAATACCTTTAATCGGGTGGTCAAATCAATTCCTTTGGCTTAAAACTTGGTGTAAATAATGCATGTGATCAAATAAATTCCTTTGGCTTAAAACTTGGTGTAAATAATGTATGTGGTCAAATCAATTTCCTTTATTTACGTCGTCAAATCAATTACATTGGTTTGAAATGTGGTGTGAATAATTCATATGGTCAATAAATCATCTTTAATCAATACCAATTGATTATGGTCAATAAATCATCTTTAATCAATACCAATTGATATATTTACATACATTTTATGCATGATTTCATCCAATTTTCAAAATAACTCTCCATTTAGATCCTCAAACTATAGGTCAATAACCAATAAGTTCATTAGACTTTAATAATAGTGCACTTAAGTCATAAATTTAAATATAACAACTCGTGGTAAATATTTGGGACGTTGCATAAGTGTTCGAGATCGAAAGACTGCTTTGTGAAAATTTGTGCTGCTGAATATTGAATAAAGGAAAACCGAAGTAAAAGAACTCTAGAAATATCTCCTAGAATCCCTTAGCACCACATCTAGTGTAGGGTTAAATCCCTGGTACCATGTAAGAACACGATATTTGATGTTCATTGAGAACTGTAGGGAGTGCATGTCTTTGTGTAACCTACGAAGTATCACATATTTTAGTAAGACTTGAGAGCAAATCCAACTAAACATCCTTTCACAACTCCAAATTTATAATACCAAAACAAGACACTTAACTCAAATTACATATATAGTTTGCAGTTATAAGAATTTCTATAAAACCCTGAGATTAGTATATTAATGAAAACAAAAAACTAAAATAAAAGCTAATAAGATCTATTTAAAATCAAATTGGAACTTTAATAACGCGAAGTACATCTTTTCTTTTTGGGACAACTAAGTTGGTCGGATAGAGGGAAAGTGACACCGGATGTACTAGGAGAATTGTAGAAGAAGGGGAAAGGGAAGGGAAGAAGAGGGGAAGAGGAGAAGATAGAAAATTGGGGGGAGAAATTAATTTATTTCATATACTCAAGTTGTTATATTACATCTCCATAATCCCCTTTATATAGGGTTTCAAAAATCATAACTAGGTAAAGAAATGCCATAAAAGTTAATTAAATCACACTCTAATCATGTTTCCTAAAATAAGAATCAAAATAGGAAACTAAATAAATAATTTATTTCTATAATATTGCATCAGAAAGACTCAACATACAAAACGTGTGCACATGCTTAAGCTGGCGCCTACATCATAAAAGTACGTCTTATATTCTATGCAGAGAAACTTTTACTGAAAATGAAAAAGACAATGTTTCTAATTCTCTGGTCCACGTCTTGGAAGGCCTTTCTGTATTTTCTCTACCTTCGTATATCTTTCTCTTGATAAATGAATGTACGGTATCAACAAGTAGACTTCTTCAAATTGCCGAAAAAATTCTAAGGATAAAAATACTTCAGGTGAATGCTGATAAGCTACAATGTGTGATTGATATTTGTATTTTAATACTATTAATGATGACAGATAAAGGTTTTAAAGCTTAGGAATCAAAATTGAGATCTTCCTTGAAATTAGTTCGTGTCTTTTAACTTCATATGCCTTTTCTCTTCTCTGTTTTGGTCTGGAGAGGAAGTTGTATAATTCGAGCAATAGTACTTCCAAAGGAACAATTTTTAAGTTATTCTGCCAATGGTTAAACATTGGAGAAATACCCTGATGTAGAACGTAAGAAGAAACAGAAATAGGGAAGAGAGAGAGAAGAAATGGGAGAAATAATCAATATTCAAGTCTGCTTACAAACGAAAACCTCAGTCGTATGGGGAAAAGAAGTTACAATTAAACTAACTTCTAATAAACAAAATGCTTAACAAAATATTGTAACTAATCAAAGTCAATCTAAATAAACATAACTTAAAAAATCAATTTCCACTTTGAAATCCTATATTTATTCTTATCTTCATTCCCCATCATACCCGTTTGTCAATTTCTTGGCACGCTGATTACATGAGACTTCTATAAACGTTGCATTTGACAAGCATTTGAAATAGATTTAGATGACAGATTAAGTAATGTCATTGTGCTTTCTTCTCTTTCTCAGGTGAATACATTGCTAGTGGAAGTGACGATGGTAGATGGTTTATATGGGAAAAAAGAACTGGCAGATTATTAAAAATGCTGCATGGGGATGAAGCTGGTAATGTTCCCGACTCTCTCCCCTTGGGCCTAAATTTTTAAATTTTCTATACTATATCATCAAACTAATGAGCTGCTTTTTAATCGTCAAGCTCCATAATTGGATATGGAATTTATGTATTGGTCAACCTCTAGAAATGTTTCTACAAATGTCTAGTCTAGCCAACCTTCACTAAATCACCAGCCTTTGCAATGATGTAGTTATATGTTATTCAATGCAAAAAAAAATAAAAATTGACGAAAGGTACTCATTACTGCTGGAAAAAATTTTAATGACAAAGTTTCAACTCCTTGTCATTTGACCTCATTTCAAATGATTTTTATCGATCCTTCCTAAATCATAGTTCTAGTCACTCTTAATGGGTTGCAAATAGCGGTTTGCTAGAACAAGTGATGGTACTATTGCTAATATAAACCTAGAGGAAAGATGAGCTAATTTAATGAAAGATTTATCTTTCAAAGATATAAATTCAATGACAACTGCATACACTTTGGATATCTTGTAATCTCATGAAGTAATTATCTATCTAAGATGTCTGTTTGAGCCGATGACTTGGAGGAAAATCTTATCCAGTATTAATTGGAATCTTTGAATGGGGCTGCCCAATCAGACCTCTATTCTGTTCAGTGGGGACAGTTAAGTCATCTGCACGTGAGGTAAGGCTGGAGAAGAATAAGATTTTGATTTTCTGAAATTGTGGGAAGTCCCTACCTGCTCGAGGCTGAAATGAAGAAGCATAATTGTGGGGGAACAAAGATTCATTGTTAGGGATGAAATGTGTGGTTCTGCTATCCTGGGTTGCATCTAGGAAGAAGAAATGTTGTAATTGGGCATGGTATTGTGGTTTGGTTGGAGATGAAATGGAGGGGATTTCAGAGCATGTATGGAAAAGTCTCTGTGATTCTGGTGAATAGAACTCTAAGATGTAACCACAGATGAAGCACATTTATCAGGTTAGAAGGAAATCCTTTGCTGAGGCTGTTCATGGGCTATGGAGATGGAATTTTTCATCCTGAATATGTGATTTCAGTGGAAACTGATATGAACCACAAGGACATCAGGGTGCTTTAAGAATAGGTTTTGAGTTGATATTAATGGAATAGCTACGGTTTCAACTAGTACAAAGGAAAGTAGATGATGTTACTGCTGTTACCTTTAGGAAAAGGGCATGGACATTGGGAAGAGTGAAAGAAGATTATGTGGGAAAACTATGATGAAAATTTTGAGTGGAAGAGGAAAACTGGGTCAACTCTGAATGACCTATAGAGAGGAACATCAAGAAGAGCTGAAAATGATATATACGTCTTTCAGGGATATTCTGGAAACAAGTCTGAATGATGAGGATGGTAGAGATCAAATGTTATCGCCGGGACTTCTGTTTCATTGCCTGAAATGATGTATTCTATACTAGTATGTAGCAAGAGATTTTCAGTTTGGTTGTAAGGTTCATATTAGTTCTAGGTGAAGACTTCTGATTGCTACTATGTCCCTTTAATAATTTTTGCAAGTTGAATTGATGTGAAAAAGCTTATACAAAACAAGTCTGAATGATGAGGATGGTAGAGATCAAATGTTATCGCCGGGACTTCTGTTTCATTGCCTGAAATGATGTATTCTATACTAGTATGTAGCAAGAGATTTTCAGTTTGGTTGTAAGGTTCATATTAGTTCTAGGTGAAGACTTCTGATTGCTACTATGTCCCTTTAATAATTTTTGCAAGTTGAATTGATGTGAAAAAGCTTATACGGATTGTGTTTCTTCAATAAAGAGAGGGTTATTTGATGGTTGGCACATTATGCACCCCCTTCCCCTCTTTATCCATTTTTCTTTTGAAGTGGCCTAATAACTTTACCCTTTTCCTGTACAGTTGTGAACTGCATTCAGTGCCATCCACTTGATTGTGTTGTTGCAACTAGTGGGATTGATAGCACCATAAAGGCAAGATACAATAAGGATTTTAGATGGTTAATAACTATTAGAAGGTATAATAACATGTTCATAACTGATGCAGATTTGGACTCCAAGTGCTTCAGTCCCATCCATTGTATCTGGTGGAGCCGCAGGACCAGAGGCTCCAAATGTGTTAGATGCTATGGAAAGCAATCAGCGCACATTATGCCGCACTCGTGAAACATTTTTGTATGTTTAGTAAATGTTCGAATAGCATTTGCTGTTGTTTTCCTATTTTACTTTGTTACATCACTATCATCACCAACACGACTGTCTTCGTGGATTTTCCACATTGCTAGATGTTCATGCATAAATTGCTGGTCCAGTATGATGTTTCTCAATGCATTAAGGAATTTCCAGAATTTCTGCTAGGCTAACTTATTTTTTAAAATTTCTTAACCAAGAATACATAAAGCAAAATTTAATTACTGTAGTTGGGAGGACCATTCCTTGGATTAAGAACATTTCTTTTCTTCTTGAAAATTTGGTGATCCAACGTTTACGGCTTTACCTGTCTCATGACCATCTTATATGCTTTTTAAAATAATAATAAATTTCTAAAATCAATAATTCTCTTTATTTTTGGTGAGAAAATATGATCGATAAAAAATCTTATTAGAACCTCTGTTCTGCTGCTTCAAAATTGAATTTAATGTTAGATTGAGATAAACTCCCGAGGTTGTCCTCGATTAAATTCTTTCCCCCGTCATATGAAGTATGGATAGGTGATTGTAATGTTCTGGGAAAATTTAGCTGCATGGTTTTATGAAATCAGTAGAACAATGAAGGTCAATAATAGCAGCAGAGGTTTATTTATTTAGTTTTTTATAGAAGCTTATATTGTATTTACAGCATGATATGGTTTTGGCTTGTTCCGGGTCATGTTGCATCCATTTCTACTGGTTGTAGTTAATTTATTGTTCAATGTCACATTAGGCCATTTGAGATTTTGGAGCGGTTTCGGATGCATGAGTTTACTGAAGGAAGTTTGCATCCATTTGAGTGCACACAAAGCTGATCTTGTTTCATGCCATTGGTATGGTAAATTTAAACAGCTTGTTTCTCTTTTTGAATAGTTTTCCATGTATCTAATAAGTGCTTGCTTGGCTAAGCTTTTAAGTGCTTAGTGGTTAAAAATGATGATCGACCAACTTTTAAATGCTTAAAAGCACTACCCTAACAATCACTAAGCAATTACTGAATAGTTCATAAGTATGTAATCTATCTGAAGCTAGATAATTAAGGGTTTTAATTTTTGAGTTTCTAAAATAAATTGTTCCTTTTGACTTATTTCCTGTATGGCAAATAAGAAGAAAAAAATGAAACCCCAGTAGTTATCTGTGTTCTCAATGTTGTGCTACAGAGTGGCAGAGCAGAAAGGATAAATTGGAAGAATCGTACGAGAATTATAAATAGTGTAAAGCTTGTTTGGTAGGTGTTTATAATCAGTATTTATTATAATAGATAGAAATGAGTGGTTGATATATGGTTAGTACTTGTGAGTCCTACGAAATGTGTGGATAGGTTTGACTGTAAGTATGTTAATATTAAACACCTTCAAACATGGAGAAACATAGGCAGACATAGAGTGATGTTACTTTTGAGGGTATGAAATTTGCTCCTTGTTTGAAATTATATTAAAGCACAATAATTTACGTTTTACGCTTCTATCTGTAAAAAATTATCTTTCATCTTGGTTTCAGCAGGATGATAAAATGAGGAATTGAAGCACGCAGACATGCTGAAGTTCCTATGAGAAACAATGCAATTGTTATACAGAAATGATCCATGTAAAGCTATATTTATGTTCACAAGCTTATCGTCGTGCTTTGTACCTTCTCCTAAAAGATGCGCAACAGAGAAATAAAGATTTGTAAATAATTGTACCCATGTGTTGATATAGTTTATATGCTCAATGTCCAATGGTGGTTGCATATAATGGTGCTGGGAATTTATATAATATTTTCTTCTTGGAGTCTTCGCTGGTTTAGCTGATGTATTCGTTAGCATCAGTGCAATGTGGATTACCATTGGAGTAATATAACCTTCAATGGTAACGTTCCCGGCGAAGAGGAATTGTTATTGGAGGGATTTGTACTATTATGAGGTCTATGTTGAAAATGAATTCGAATCGATATGCTGTGGTCTGCTTTAAACTTCCGATCAAAGACGGTACTTCTGTTTTACGTCGTCCTTGAGAACTTTGTATGTCAAGTCAAAAATAGAGCGAACACTGAACCCTCAGATACATATTCTTCGACTTTTTTCGTCAAAAATTAATTTGTTTTATAAAACTTTGCTGACTTTTGAGTTGGATACTTAGGATATGCTGTCGTTACCTAAAGATGGCAAGCCTCGACCACAAACCATATTCCATCTAACAATAACTTCCGCAAGTGTGTGAAAATTCATCCTCACATCATGCAACATAATTTCATCTTAAAATCGTGCTACATGCCCATGTAAATTGACACCTAGTTTGACGTCTATGTAGCATGATTTCAACGAATGATAAAGATTTTATTAAATATGAATTATGCTACACACACATCTTGGTTGACACATAGTTTAACGATTTAAAGTCCAAAAGGTATTTAGGTTTTTGTTTTATAGATTTTTTCAGTATTTTTAATTATTTCCTCAGTTAAGTTCTTAAATTCAGTTCCTATAAATATTTTATATAAAGAGAATTTATACAGTGTAATACTTGAATGTTGGATAAGTTGATAGTTTCTCAATTTATTCTCTACTTCTTACCTTTTCCCCTTTTCATCTCCTCTCTATTTATAATTTGTGTTATAGTTCTTGTGTTTTATGTCAATTTGATATCTAAGCAAGTCATTTACCTTTAGTCAAATAAATTTCGTCAAGTATTTAAAGGGCATTCAAGTTCAAAAAACTCACTACAGCAATCATGACAAAAAGTCCAAAATACACTATCCAACATTTTCTACACACCACACCTTTATCCATCGAAAAACTTTGAACCAAAAACTCTTAAGTGCTTGTTTAGTAGGGATTTGATTAATTTATTTTTTGATCGTTAGAGATAAAGTGGGCTCTACCTGTGAGAAAAGAATTCAAAAATGACGGTTGAAATAGTGAAATAACGATCAAAAAATTGATTTTAATCCAATTAAAATCTGTACCAAACAAGCACTAAATCTGCTATGCCTCATTTGACAAGGCTTAGGCTTCGAACATAGACCATGTAACAAACTGCTAAATAAACCTGCACAAACCCATTCTTCATGCTGTCAGATATACTAAATAATACTCAATAAGACTAGATATCCTTCATTCTGAGAGGATTTCTCATTAAATAGAACCAAATCAAACTAAATATGGTAAAAATAATATATTTGTATACAGCACAATATAATTATAATATAGCTGTAATATTTCGTAATCTTTATTTAACCTTATTAACACCCCCCTCAAATTGATACTGGTAAAAGCATCAAAAGCATCAATTTGTAATCTTGAACTACGACGATGACAATACTTTGTATACGAAGAAAAAATTCAAATAAGAGCAATCAACTATGAAAACTAGTGACAACGAGAGACCAAGAATATTCCAGATAGCTCACTCCCCCAAGAAGAATTTTTGAAAAAAATTCATGAAGTTCCGACACGTAGTGAGCTCTATCTTTTGGGAGAACTGAGTCACACATAATTCGTGTTTTGAAAAAAGCTAGGCCACTATACCGGCCAAGATTTCAGCAATATATCACTGATCAAGATGCTGCAGTTGGAAGAAATTCCACCGAAGAGCCTACACCAACCCAAAAAAAAAAAAAAAAAAAAAAAAAAAAAAACACACCCCCTTCCCCTCTTTATCCATTTTTCTTTTGAAGTGGCCTAATAACTTTACCCTTTTCCTGTACAGTTGTGAACTGCATTCAGTGCCATCCACTTGATTGTGTTGTTGCAACTAGTGGGATTGATAGCACCATAAAGGCAAGATACAATAAGGATTTTAGATGGTTAATAACTATTAGAAGGTATAATAACATGTTCATAACTGATGCAGATTTGGACTCCAAGTGCTTCAGTCCCATCCATTGTATCTGGTGGAGCCGCAGGACCAGAGGCTCCAAATGTGTTAGATGCTATGGAAAGCAATCAGCGCACATTATGCCGCACTCGTGAAACATTTTTGTATGTTTAGTAAATGTTCGAATAGCATTTGCTGTTGTTTTCCTATTTTACTTTGTTACATCACTATCATCACCAACACGACTGTCTTCGTGGATTTTCCACATTGCTAGATGTTCATGCATAAATTGCTGGTCCAGTATGATGTTTCTCAATGCATTAAGGAATTTCCAGAATTTCTGCTAGGCTAACTTATTTTTTAAAATTTCTTAACCAAGAATACATAAAGCAAAATTTAATTACTGTAGTTGGGAGGACCATTCCTTGGATTAAGAACATTTCTTTTCTTCTTGAAAATTTGGTGATCCAACGTTTACGGCTTTACCTGTCTCATGACCATCTTATATGCTTTTTAAAATAATAATAAATTTCTAAAATCAATAATTCTCTTTATTTTTGGTGAGAAAATATGATCGATAAAAAATCTTATTAGAACCTCTGTTCTGCTGCTTCAAAATTGAATTTAATGTTAGATTGAGATAAACTCCCGAGGTTGTCCTCGATTAAATTCTTTCCCCCGTCATATGAAGTATGGATAGGTGATTGTAATGTTCTGGGAAAATTTAGCTGCATGGTTTTATGAAATCAGTAGAACAATGAAGGTCAATAATAGCAGCAGAGGTTTATTTATTTAGTTTTTTATAGAAGCTTATATTGTATTTACAGCATGATATGGTTTTGGCTTGTTCCGGGTCATGTTGCATCCATTTCTACTGGTTGTAGTTAATTTATTGTTCAATGTCACATTAGGCCATTTGAGATTTTGGAGCGGTTTCGGATGCATGAGTTTACTGAAGGAAGTTTGCATCCATTTGAGTGCACACAAAGCTGATCTTGTTTCATGCCATTGGTATGGTAAATTTAAACAGCTTGTTTCTCTTTTTGAATAGTTTTCCATGTATCTAATAAGTGCTTGCTTGGCTAAGCTTTTAAGTGCTTAGTGGTTAAAAATGATGATCGACCAACTTTTAAATGCTTAAAAGCACTACCCTAACAATCACTAAGCAATTACTGAATAGTTCATAAGTATGTAATCTATCTGAAGCTAGATAATTAAGGGTTTTAATTTTTGAGTTTCTAAAATAAATTGTTCCTTTTGACTTATTTCCTGTATGGCAAATAAGAAGAAAAAAATGAAACCCCAGTAGTTATCTGTGTTCTCAATGTTGTGCTACAGAGTGGCAGAGCAGAAAGGATAAATTGGAAGAATCGTACGAGAATTATAAATAGTGTAAAGCTTGTTTGGTAGGTGTTTATAATCAGTATTTATTATAATAGATAGAAATGAGTGGTTGATATATGGTTAGTACTTGTGAGTCCTACGAAATGTGTGGATAGGTTTGACTGTAAGTATGTTAATATTAAACACCTTCAAACATGGAGAAACATAGGCAGACATAGAGTGATGTTACTTTTGAGGGTATGAAATTTGCTCCTTGTTTGAAATTATATTAAAGCACAATAATTTACGTTTTACGCTTCTATCTGTAAAAAATTATCTTTCATCTTGGTTTCAGCAGGATGATAAAATGAGGAATTGAAGCACGCAGACATGCTGAAGTTCCTATGAGAAACAATGCAATTGTTATACAGAAATGATCCATGTAAAGCTATATTTATGTTCACAAGCTTATCGTCGTGCTTTGTACCTTCTCCTAAAAGATGCGCAACAGAGAAATAAAGATTTGTAAATAATTGTACCCATGTGTTGATATAGTTTATATGCTCAATGTCCAATGGTGGTTGCATATAATGGTGCTGGGAATTTATATAATATTTTCTTCTTGGAGTCTTCGCTGGTTTAGCTGATGTATTCGTTAGCATCAGTGCAATGTGGATTACCATTGGAGTAATATAACCTTCAATGGTAACGTTCCCGGCGAAGAGGAATTGTTATTGGAGGGATTTGTACTATTATGAGGTCTATGTTGAAAATGAATTCGAATCGATATGCTGTGGTCTGCTTTAAACTTCCGATCAAAGACGGTACTTCTGTTTTACGTCGTCCTTGAGAACTTTGTATGTCAAGTCAAAAATAGAGCGAACACTGAACCCTCAGATACATATTCTTCGACTTTTTTCGTCAAAAATTAATTTGTTTTATAAAACTTTGCTGACTTTTGAGTTGGATACTTAGGATATGCTGTCGTTACCTAAAGATGGCAAGCCTCGACCACAAACCATATTCCATCTAACAATAACTTCCGCAAGTGTGTGAAAACTTGAGAACTTTGTATGTCAAGTCAAAAATAGAGCGAACACTGAACCCTCAGATACATATTCTTCGACTTTTTTCGTCAAAAATTAATTTGTTTTATAAAACTTTGCTGACTTTTGAGTTGGATACTTCGGATATGCTGTCGTTACCTAAAGATGGCAAGCCTCGACCACAAACCATATTCCATCTAACAATAACTTCCGCAAGTGTGTGAAAATTCATCCTCACATCATGCAACATAATTTCATCTTAAAATCGTGCTACATGCCCATGTAAATTGACACCTAGTTTGACGTCTATGTATCATGATTTCAACGAATGATAAAGATTTTATTAAATATGAATTATGCTACACACACATCTTGGTTGACACATAGTTTAACGATTTAAAGTCCAAAAGGTATTTAGGTTTTTGTTTTATAGATTTTTTCAGTATTTTTAATTATTTCCTCAGTTAATTTCTTAAATTCAGTTCCTATAAATATTTTATATAAAGAGAATTTATACAGTGTAATACTTGAATGTTGGATAAGTTGATAGTTTCTCAATTTATTCTCTACTTCTTACCTTTTCCCCTTTTCATCTCCTCTCTATTTATAATTTGTGTTATAGTTCTTGTGTTTTATGTCAATTTGATATCTAAGCAAGTCATTTACCTTTAGTCAAATAAATTTCGTCAAGTATTTAAAGGGCATTCAAGTTCAAAAAACTCACTACAGCAATCATGACAAAAAGTCCAAAATACACTATCCAACATTTTCTACACACCACACCTTTATCCATCGAAAAACTTTGAACCAAAAACTCTTAAGTGCTTGTTTAGTAGGGATTTGATTAATTTATTTTTTGATCGTTAGAGATAAAGTGGGCTCTACCTGTGAGAAAAGAATTCAAAAATGACGGTTGAAATAGTGAAATAACGATCAAAAAATTGATTTTAATCCAATTAAAATCTGTACCAAACAAGCACTAAATCTGCTATGCCTCATTTGACAAGGCTTAGGCTTCGAACATAGACCATGTAACAAACTGCTAAATAAACCTGTACAAACCCATTCTTCATGCTGTCAGATATACTAAATAATACTCAATAAGACTAGATATCCTTCATTCTGAGAGGATTTCTCATTAAATAGAACCAAATCAAACTAAATATGGTAAAAATAATATATTTGTATACAGCACAATATAATTATAATATAGCTGTAATATTTCGTAATCTTTATTTAACCTTATTAACACCCCCCTCAAATTGATACTGGTAAAAGCATCAAAAGCATCAATTTGTAATCTTGAACTACGACGATGACAATACTTTGTATACGAAGAAAAAATTCAAATAAGAGCAATCAACTATGAAAACTAGTGACAACGAGAGACCAAGAATATTCCAGATAGCTCACTCCCCCAAGAAGAATTTTTGAAAAAAATTCATGAAGTTCCGACACGTAGTGAGCTCTATCTTTTGGGAGAACTGAGTCACACATAATTCGTGTTTTGAAAAAAGCTAGGCCACTATACCGGCCAAGATTTCAGCAATATATCACTGATCAAGATGCTGCAGTTGGAAGAAATTCCACCGAAGAGCCTACACCAACCCAAAAAAAAAAAAAAAAAAAAAAAAAAAAAAACACAAAAGATGACCCTCCTATAAGAATTCAAAACTCTAGCTCATCGCTAAGCAATCAAAACTCAACGATCTACACTCCCCATGTCTTTCTGTCTAACCAAAAACAAAAAAACCCTTTTTTTTGGCGAAAGAACAAATCCATTACTGTGTTGCGGTTCTCCAAACACCAAACGATGAATTTATTGAAATCTAACAAACAAGCCCAAGTATAATTAGGTGCCCAATAAAGCCCAACAAAATAATTCGATTCCATGATTTGTGGATGTTCCAAGATGTCAAATTTTCAGCCCAGTTCAACCAAACACTCCAATTATCTAACTCAATCCCTTAAACCAAATCAACCATATACAGCCCAACATAGCTTCAACATAATAAGTAAGCCCACAAAACTGTAGCCCAATAATACACCAATAAGGTCGCTCAAACTTAGAACAAATATTGTAGCACAACTATGATAAAACCCCAAAAAATAACCAAAACAGACAGCCCAAAAACACAAACCAACACCTACAAATCCTGACACAGTCCAAATGAATAATCCAAAGCACATATGAATTTAGCCCAACAAAGAAAAGCCCAAATTACACATAACCTAAAACTCAAAAAACCAAAATAATAGCCCATTACCCAATTAAACTACAACCCATAAATCAGGCCCATTCCATAAATCCAGCCTATGTATAACCACACAATACATATCCTCAGGCCTAATTACTCCAACAACCTAATAAACACAAAAATTAACCCAAATCAGTTGCTGAAGTCCACACCTTCACCACGGAATTCATGACCTCTACACACGATTGCCTTTTCATTGATACCACCCACAACAAATCGTTGGCCACACAATCCCAATCATGAACCGCCACTGCAAAGGCCTACACCACACCCTTCAACACCAACCGCATTTTACCCAATTTTACCTTGTCACCATCAATTAACTACTACATCGTCACCCACAAACCATACAACTACCATTTTACTTTTTTTTTTTTTAACATTACCCAGGGGCGGACCCAGACCATTTAAACTGTGGGGTCAAAATTTTTTTTTTCGAACAACGTATCATGAAAAAAAAGGAAAAATCGATTGTTTGCTGTTCATGTTCGATATGGACCATGTGATATGGATATAGATTTAGAATTCGGACTTTTTAGGGCAGAAAATTGAATTTTCAGCACAAAAAAAACAGAAAATTAAGTATTTAAGAGATATTCCATACATCTTCTTGCTTCACCTCTATGTTGTAGATGCCCTGGATCAACTTCTCAGTCTAATTTTCATATGTCAGGCTTGATTACAGGGTGACAAGTTTTCAAAATCATTAAATATCCATAAACCTAAGACTGTAGAAGTTAGGGGTGTCAACGAGCAAAGTCGAAACTCCCGACTTGGGCTTGGCTCAAGCTTTTTTAAGTCTAGCTTTTTTTGGTCCGAGCCGAGTCGAAAAAATTAAGGATCGACCCCAGCTTTCGACTCAGGTATTACTGAGCCGAGTCGACTCATTTTTGTTTTTATTTTTATTTTTTGCTTTTCTTTTTTCCATAGCTATAGCTGCCGCCAAACATGAAGCTGCCTGTTTGGCAGCAGAAACGCTGCCTCAACAGGCAACTCGATTTTTTTTAAAATTTAAACGGGCCGGCTTGTGTGGCTCGTCAAGGCCGCAAAGGCAATTCGGGCTCGAGCCGATTCTCTAAAATGGGCCTCGATTTGAGCCTCGAGCCGGGCTAACTCGAGCTTTTTTTCGGGCCGAGCCACGGGTGGCCCAAGCCGACGACCCTGATTGACATCTCTAGTAGAAGTGCACCTAAGAGAAGACACATCGACCCTTAAGATGAGGTTCTATATCTTTTCATTCAATGGTAATCACTACACATCTTCCATAAAAAAACTCACAATTAGTACCAATTGAAGGTAATGCACACTAGTAATATTGCCCACTCTTGTTTTCTTTCTATAACTCGGTGTCTATACATATTCATGTCTATGTCTTTCGTTCATCCCACATCAAAAACATATATAAATACAAGTTGATTGACTTGATCATCGAGTGCTCGCTATCGCCTGTTCACTATTGTAGAAGGTCACGTGCTTTTAACGATTTATCCAAATATGTAGGAACCTTAACGTGTAGATGTGAATAGAACTGAGATTTATTGACCACATCATCGCTAGAAACTAGGATGAACAAAACCTATTATGTTGAGGTGATTTTATAAGCATTGTTATGGTTACCTCCGCAAGCAATTTAACAGGACCTCTTAAGGCCTCGGCGGCATTTTTGGAAGCACCTCGGCTGGCCTCTTGAGAGCCTCGATTGGACCAATTAGGGCTTCAATGGACATCCTTGAAGGCACGTCGTCAGGCACTTCGGCCATCTTTGAAGGTACTTCGGTTTACCTTTTAGGGATCCTTGGCTTGGCTTTAGGCACCTTCACTGAGCTTTGGAGGCACCTCATTGACCCCCTTGAGAGCCTCAATTGAATTAGTGAATTATTGTGGTGTCTCCTTGTGGCATTTCATATTCGACCAGCAACAATACTCCCTTAAGTTGGAGTTTTACATTCATGTGCGGGTCGAACTTTCTTTGTACTTGCAATTTTGTGAAGTTTTGGCAATTCCAGTGGCGGAGCCATTTAGGCCCAAAATTTTATTCTTTTTTTTTTAAAGCAACAGGGGAGGTGGAATAAAAACATGTTTTAATTTACATGGGTTTTATTTTTAGGCCCAAACCCATGATTTTGTTTTATAGTTTTATCATCATTAAATTCATGACCAAAACACAATGTTCGACATTGGTTAAATTATGCCTGCACTGAACAAATTTTTTGGCTCCTCCCTTGGGCAGTTCAATTGCTCTTTTCTTTTTGAGAGTGGTCCTCGTCAGGATCCTACTTTTTTTTTGTGTTACCTCTTCTAGGTGGCCCGCTTCGTGGTTCAACTCATTTGTTCAGTTGCTTCTTAGGCTAATATGTTCATTGAAAGGTCTCTTGGGCTAATTTTCATAGAAGTGCTTCTTGGGCTCCTTTCTTTTATTCCTTCAAAGGAATTGCCTCGAAAAATGTCATATATTTTGCAAAATTTCGACAGCATCTCCTCTG